TTAAACTGCTCCAAATTCGGCTTTCTTCATGTTAGACCAAGTGAAAGAAGCGCCATAGAGTGRGAGGTCAACCAAATCACAAACAGCAACGCAATCCGCGACATCTTTAAGACCTCTTCTCTGATTTTCGGCCTGTAAAGTCAGAACCCCTTTCATATTTGATTGCATAAGGCATTCATTTGACCTTTCCAATAATGCACCAAACAAGGTAGGTTGGAAACACTATGGATGAATCTGAGCTCATTCTATAGGTCTTGCTCGTGAGAAACTATTGCTGGAGCATAGACTTATGTAGCCATCCATTTCAAGTTGTGATTTAGGGAGTGTATCCTATAGTAATGGTCTAGGTCCCAATGTGAGTTGAGACAACCTTTTTTTATTCGTTTAAATTAATTTAAGAGCCACCATCTCTACTTTTCTGAGGAACATAGCAGTTGTCAAGATCTTTTTATACATTTTGGTGCTAATGCCACGTATCTTTATTTACATAGTGTTCAATGCTAGTGGCTAAAAATCAGAGTGTGCGAGTCCAATTTGACATATAAAAGAAACTCATATAAAATCCACATCACTCCATAAATTGAAGAGATTTAAGGGGAGATAATCAAGCCATCTAATAATTTTGAGAGGGATCCACAATTCAGAGTCATCTAGAATCATTGAAGCTATCAAAGGTGTTATTCACGAGTTTAACTAATTAATTTAATAAAATAACATATTATTCAAAAAAATTTATAAAAAGAACATTAATTTTTTCTTTTCGTAAAATATACTTTTAGTTTTTAGATTTCAAATATTTTTAGTCCCTAAAATTTGAAAAAATGTTTTAAAAGGTCTATCAACTTCTAAGACTGTTAAGTGTTATTAATGGACTAAATAAGACGACATGAAGGTTAAATTGTTGACTCGACTTCATTGAGTTGACAAAATATATTATTTTAATAATATTGTGTTGGTGGATGGGCTATTCTCTTTCCTTCCYGTCCTCCATCAAATTTTGCGTCTTCTTGCTTGCTCGTCATTGTCGCCAAAAGCCTTCATCAGCCATCGAAAACTCTCGCCAACCTACCCTCGTTTCAGTTTTTAGCAACCGCCATCCTCGTTCGAATTCCAGTCGACCAGGAACCATAATGGAAGGAGGAACATGATCTGAACAAGATTTGTTGAGATTCAATATCGACAACAAGAAACTTACACTTATCTCCTATAGGTTGAGAGTTCCAATCTCCACTCCCATATGTTGTACTAAAAAAAACTTAACAACATATGAGAATATATCATTTTTTTAAATATGGTTCAAACCTTATCCATTATCAATTTTTCCTTTTGCCAAAGAATATAGTTAATTGGTTATGGTCAGTTATCATCAACCAAAATATCAGAAGTTAGATTCAGAATTTTTGTTGGAGAGCTTTATTTAAAATTTAGTAAAAATAATTTATAAGTGCGTGTTTTCAAGAATTTATAAAAATCCATATATGAAATGAACAGTATAGTATTATTTATAAGTTTTAAAATTACCAGCAASAATTAGACCAAGAGACGGTAAATGTATTTATATAAATTGAAAATGGTTTCTTTTTAAAATGCAATTGCTACCTATTAACAGTGTTGGTAAAAGATATCATACCTTTAGAAGATAAGATTTAAATATCCCACCATTATAATTTTTTCCCTTTTAAAAATTGACATATTTATATAAAGAAAATTTTCAAGATTCAAAGAGCACATATGGGATAGAAATCAACATACCATCTAGAATAAATCTCTAATACCTATAATCAGATTAAAAATTTATATATTTTCTAAATGAATAAAAATAATATATATTTTAATATATGTGTATATCACATATCATAGGAACCAACGTTTTGCAAGAAGAGAATCTACACTAAAAAAGTAAATCAATTAAAGTAGAACTTATTATTATTACTATTATTTAGGTCAACTCCTTTCATTTGAAAAGACGTAACTTATTTTATACGACTCCTCTAATTATAACGTGGAATATGTAAGAAAAATATGAGTAGAAAATAAGGAGTGAAATTGTTGTGCAAAAAACTTTTATTAAGAAAATAGGCACAAACTCTAATATCTAATCTTCACTATTTTTCTTTTGCTCTTCCCTCACATATTGACTTAGCTAATAAAAGTGAGTGTTGACCATATATTTATAGGCAAAATATCATTGAGTCCAAGAGAGATTTTTCTAGACCATTTTTTAATCTAAAATATTTTAAATATTTCTTTAAAAATCTAATCATATGTAAAAAGAATTAAAGAATTATTTAAGCCTAAAAAATATTATTAAAAACTAAGATATTTCTAAAGGTCCGGTCTAAGATATAGACAAATGAGAATGTCGCCTAAGATTCTAGAAAACCTCATATTTTTTTTATAATATTAAAAATACAAACGAGTAGTTAATGAACATCTTAAAAAAACTTATAGTTAAGGAATCAATRAGAGAACAATGTTAATAGTTAATGTAAAATCTACATTAAAAAAACACGTAAATTTATCCAAACCGACTTGACAAGGAATCCACTCTCATAGATGACTTAGCATATTCAACAAATGTCCTACAGCACAAGAGAATTACGAGTATTATGGATAGGAAAAAGTCATATTTTCTCTAATTTGAATTTCATGACCTTATGATTTTCCTATATTAAGGAGATGATACTCATTAAACATAATATTACATGATAATTAGTTAAATTTGACTTAAAGATTATCATGGAAATCTAAATCTATCTTAGTAATGCACTATTTAGTTTTAAATTATAGTTTAGTAGCCTTACAAAGTATGGCAAACAGTTTAGCCTTATGCGTTGTCTTTTTCAAGGATGTTAGTTTGTGATGTAAAAAAATTACAAGGGTAGCGAAAAGTCAAAATGATAAAGGTAAATTACACCCYCACAAAGACAATGTGCTGTGAATTCTATATGTTAAGGAAGAAGAAACAAATGTGGTATTACGCTACATAATCTCATTCACTCCTATACTTTCTATAAAATTTCAATGACTTAAATCTCACATGTGGCTAGCACTACACAGGTGTGTAATCTTTCTATTTTGCACATTTCATTGAATTCCATATATTGTAGCATCTATGAGTCTTATTAGATGTTCGATCATCTCATAACTGAGTAGAAACAATAGGTATAGCATATCAATAAGTTATCTACTTTTGATTACAAATTAAAGGGTCGGACTCATCTGTAGGAATGAAGCTCAGTAACTTTTTCACTAACTTGGAAGCAGGTCCGGCCTAAGATAATATAATTCCTTCAAATATTAAAAATAAGTAAATATATTATATAATTTAATTGCATATATAAATGTAATATACAAATATATTTAATTGCATAAAGTTGTTTATTAGACGATAGATACATTAATTTATTTAAATTATAAATTTAAAAATAAAAATAAAGAAAATTCATAAAAGAAAATATATGAAAAAAAAATGAATGGCAAAAATGTAAAGAGTGAATRTCTTTGGGAGTCTTGGAAATCCATGTTTAAAAAGACATCCAAATGTCTCTATGGACATCCTAGATACTCGGGAATCTCAAGATACTCGGTATCCTACATTCCCGCTTAACAAACATGGGAATCCAGACCTTTATCTCCACGCTCCAATGGTCCTCCGACAAAATATGTGCTTCTAAAAAATCTTTTATACCGTGTCCAATCCCGAAGTTAGTTCTATACATATGACCAGCAACAAGAAAAATAAATGCAATAGCTTAATGCTCGTCCAATGGGAATCTTGCAAATGGCCCTAARAGTCTTTTTGGTGCCTTACGATTTTGAGGATCTTCAAAATTCGATGTATCTCAAATAAATTTTGTTGTTTGGTACCTCAAAATTTTGAATGATTTGAATTATGTAAAAAAATTTATTCATCAAAATGGTCGTATTTTGTAGATTTAATCTTGTTATATTTTAATTTCTAACTAATAAATTTAGATTAAAAACCTAAACCAATAATTTTTTTTTTTCCTTTTCTGAAACTTCCAAACAAAAAAATTATATTCATTTCAACTTTCTTGAATTTCAAATCAAATATTTTTTTAGGTTAAATTTACTCGAATTAGTAGTGCTTAATATTTAAATTAAGTATGAAAATTGAAACAATATACTAAAAATTTATCCAAATTAAACTGAATTTATTGATCATTACATATAATTCCATTAARATATTGTATGAAAGTAGGATTTCTTCTATTCTCTTTTTATTTGAGAATTGAAGGATTTTTGATTGGCTGAGTTCAAATCAAAGAAAGGTTTTTTGACYTACTTTATGTTATTAATTTTTCCCTTATCCCTTATATCATATCAATAATAAGGGATTAATAACTCAATCAAATCAAAAGAAATACAATTATCTTCAAGAACAAAGAAAAAAAAAATTGTTATGCTTAATATCTTAAGTTTCATCGGTATCTGTCTTAATTCTTTCCTTTATTCAAGTAGTTTTTTCTTCGCCAAATTGCCTGAGGCCTACGCTTTTTTTAATACAGATGTTATGCCAGTAAGACCTCTAAACAAAAGAAATAAATAAATAAAACAAAGTATTACAAATAAATTTAACTAAACCCTACACAATTAATTTATAAAAATATAGCTAGAGTTGACACAAAAACTAAATAATACAAGTATTATATTTTCCACTTCATTTGAAAATTTATTAATTGTATGTTCAAAAAACTTTTTCAAATTTATCTTTTATTATCTAACGATTTAAAAGTCTCTGTCAAATCATTCTGACTACAAATAATTTCTACGAGACTGCCTTCATTCCAAACATTTTCTGTATAAATTCCTTTTTTTCCATTATAATTTATGTATAATAAAGTTTAAATTATTGATGAGCTTATAAGTACTATTTATTTTCATTTTGATCCATCACCTCCTAAACTAAACCCGAGTAGTATAACTCATCACAGGCAAATCACCCGTAAACTATAAAAATGCTTACAATCAGAACATGATTTAAACACATTCTTTTAGTAACATTGTTTCCTCAAAATTAACTTACAGACAAATTACTAGTTTCAAAAACTAACAAAGAAAGATTACATCAACTTGGCAATAAATTTTCAACTCACAACTGGAAGATGCAAAAAGGTAGTTTCGAAGTTCAAATCAACTTTTACGAGTCGAACATCTCCACTCGAACATCGGTTTGATCTCTATGCTTGAAACAAAGCTCTGTTCCTGCTAAATATCAAAGCACAAAATAGCTTTTGCCGAGAATTGTAACATCTCATGAGGCTCTCAAAATCCTCAACAGAACCRGTTCACTTCTTATTTCTCAATAGTTAAAACCTGATGTGTGATGTCGCAAACTACTCGTTTTCGACCAAAGACATTACAGGAATCCCCTTAACCGTAAAGCTCGAACACTGAACGTGTAACTCATCTCCAACCTCGAAATTGCTCCTGTTGTCTCCCTGAATAATGCAAAGAGTGTAGAAAACTCATCAACTTTTGGATAACAATGTAATTTTTAATCGTGGAATCATCATACTGATTCTCGCTCACATTAAAGTCAAAGTATTTTCACCCGTTGAGATAGAAGAAAACCACAATGTAAGGACTAAGATAGAAGAAAATGGTTACGTACCTCGAATCGATACATCCCACGAAGTCCTTCGCCTAAATCAAGTACTAAACCACCAACTCGAACCTGGTAAACCTTTGCTCTGACTTTCATTCCAAGTTTCAGATTTCTGGCAGTTATGGGGAGGCTTTCAACTTCGTTCATATTTACATCATTCTGAGTGAAGGATTTCGACATGGCATTGAGTTTTCGAGTATTCTTAAGTTTAAGGTTCAAACCAGCAGATCTCTTTTCCTCCTCGTCACAATCTTCAGCACTTCGGATAAGGATTGATGGAATTGACGAGGTAGGATTCACCTCACTACCTACACCTTTGTCCACTGGAGAAGTATTTGCATTCAGAGTTTCATGCCGCATCTTAGATACTTCACTGACAGGAGGAAACAAATTTCCATTCCGACCTTCGGCTTTTGGCCCTGGCAAAGTTGCTTTAAGGGATAATTTGATGTTACCACGAACATCTTGACCTATGCACATCAAAGAAATCTTCTGACCAACAGATACAACATCTGAAACCCGGGAGACCTGATTATAAGAAATGCAAAACCTTTTTTTAGGAAAAACAAAGTACACTTGTAAATTCTAAAGAATGCCAAACACAGTTCCATCACAACTAGATATACTCTCCTAACCCAAGGTTGCATGGATGCGCTCAGGGGGGTGGGGGGGAAGTAATTACTATTTTCTTAATATCCGTGAGCAACTAAGCTTAACTAATCCAACAAAACCACTTGATACTACACACTTGATTGTCAAAAAATTAGTACGATTTTTTTTATTTTAGTAAGAAACCAAGCTTCCATTGAAAAAAATAAAGAATACAAAAGGGCATACAAAGGTTGAGCATACAAAAAACTACCTGCCGAGACCTGCACCTTCCAAAAGAATAACAATAACACCTAACGAATACCTTAGACAAGAATGCCCAAATGGAGGTATTAAATCTAATGTCCCAAACCTTCTCCCAAGAACTCTTCAGACCTTTTGAAAACTTGATTATTTTGCTCAAGCCAAATACCCACGAAGTAGCGAAGAAACAAGACTGCCAAAGAACTCTTCCCTTGTCCCGAAAGGAAAGATTCAGCAACACCTCCTCCCCAATCGCCCGACAATCTCAATTGTGTGCCAAAAAGGCCTCAAAGGAATTCCAAAAGCAAATCCAAATCGACTAGGCGATTACTCGTAGGACTTTAATATCATAGGTAAGTGACTACTGACCACACGCGATTACCAATCTTATTTGCTCCAGTTAGTGCAATGCAATCTAGAGCAACACTTTGGTCATACCACAATTAGGTTTGTTAATTTTTTGTACAATGAATAATTCTTCACAAATAACTGTTATTTGTGAAAAACAGAAGCAAATGATTTAGATTATTTTTTTAAGAAAAGACCATGCATCCACAATGAAGATATTTAGTTGAGCTCATTTTCGAGAAACGTGCATACCGGATCATGTGACAACTCTGAGATGTGGAGAAGGCCTTGCTGTCCACCATTAAACTCAACAAATGCACCATACTCTTTTACTGAGGCTACAACGCCTTTATAAACCCCTCCAATTTCAATCTCACGACCAAGTGTGAAATCAACCTGTAAAACAGCGAAGTTACTTTAGTCTGAAAATTTTGGTTCAACTAGTCAGGCAGTAAAAGAGTTGCATAAGAAAATTTTGCTAGATTCATGCATCATTACTGGAGTTAGGAAGCATAAACATAATTTTCCTACAGAAAGTTATAATGCAGAGCAATTAACCAAAATTTAAAGGCACACCCATCAAACAGTAGCCCCTGAAAATGCGAAATAACATGGAACACAGTTAGCAGTAGAGATAAACAAGGGGAAGGCATACCTTTTCTTGTACTTTTTCCATCACAGATTGATTTTTAGCCAGTATGGTAAGAGTTCCATCGCCTACTGATATGCGTGCACCTGAACAGAAGAATAAGTATATGTGTCAAGCAAACCATGCACCAAGAGAAGGCGACAATAATTCAATATTCGAAGGAGATGGCTTCCCATCACAGCTAAAGTAACAAGATATTTATCCAGCCAATTCTAGTGGTGCTTGTCGATGATAATTCAATATTAGAAGGTGATGGACTCCCATCTCAGCTAAATAACCAAATATCAGCACTTATCTTCTGATAATTGAATCTTTCCCAGAAATAAAATTCACGTTAGTCACTGACCACACAAATAAATTATTTGCTACAATGAAATCCTTGGTTTGTAGGGAAAAAAAAGTGATTCAAGTTCTACAATCATATAGAGATGCCATATTGCTTTAATCGGATTACCAGAAAGCTTTATTTTTACAATGATGTAAAGGGAACATCACAATCGTAAATAACCAAAGAATTTATGAAACTAGAAGTATTAAAGTAAATGAATGAATTAATAAATGGTCCAATTTTTTTAAAAAAATGGTCCAAATGAATGAATAAATAAGTAAAATCAGAAGTTCTCAAGTTCAAAGCACACCTGTTTCCTCCTCAATTTTTTTCTTCAAAGCACCAAGAGGTCCAATTAGTCGACGAAGAGCATCATTAGTGTACTTTAAGGTAGCTACAATGTATCACATCAGCCAAGCTCATTTAATAGATTTGAAGTAATATATAATAGTCAAACGATGAAAAAGGAATACTTCACTAAAAATTCCCACCTAATCTAGGAGAGTTTTTATCATCTTTAATACGCGGTGCATTAATTTCACGCTCCATGTGCTCAAGTATTTGCAGACGACCTTTACGTGCAGGCTCTAACGACTCACATATTATGTCCAATGGAATTCCAGCAGGTTTTATGTCCAATTGAATTGCTGTAATTCCTTCTCGCGTACCAGCGATTTTGAAGTCCATATCCCCCAGATGATCTTCAAGTCCCTACAAATCCATATGTAAAGAAGTCACAAATCAAACCAGCAGATACCAGAAGGTAAACATGTATCTGAAACTTTAATAGGTCTCAAAATGTCTTCCTTTATTTAAGCATTAGCCTTCCAGAGACTTGGGACTCTCCCTAAGATTCTAATTCTTCCCTCCACTCTCCTCTCAATTCAATATCTATAATTGCCCCAAGCATCTCTCAACTAACAACCAACTACATTCCTTCCAGCTAGTTAATTATGCCTAACTAATGTTATGTTACAATGGCTGGACCTTAGGATAACATTCAAGAAACTGACGTTGCATACCCATGATCAGTTAAAACATTGGCTATGAACAATGGACCAACCTCATTCGTATTCATAAGAACAAGAARGAGACATTTCATTGATTATTGAAAAAGTATCATAATAACCCAATGTCTACATATAGAATCAAATCCAAAAAAAAAAAATCAACCGAACATATTTCCAAACTATTCTTCAAAGAAACCCAACCCAATTAGAATTAATTACAAAGGGAGTATAATTTCTCTTTTTTTTTTGATATCCGTGTGTCCGGGCCAGCTTGCGCGCACCTCGACTAATCACGGGCCAACCATCTGACCCTACTACATTTGGTTGACAAAGGGAGTATAATTTCTAAACTCAGATTTCTAAAGAGACCTACAAAGAAACTCAAATACTACCTTCCAATCTTTTCTTTGCCCATTAAAAATTTAGTTGTTCCTTTCCTGCCAAATGCACCAAACAATTGATAAATCACTGTGCAAATGTGCAAATCTGAAAGTTCTCTGCTCTCCTCTCAAAAGGATGACCTCAAAGCATATAAAACACAATGTCTTCTCACACACATGGAAAGTTGCAAGATATGCCAAAATTTTGTTGAAGAGAACACCACGAAATTTTACTATAAAGACAATGAAACAATACGGCCTCGTTTAATAACTATTTCGTTTTTAGTTTTCTACTTTTAAAAGATTACACTGGTTTTCTCACAATTTCTTTGACATAGTTTCACATTTCTTAAAAACATATTTGAATTCTTTGCTAGAGTTCAAAAACAAAAACAAGTTTTTGAAAACTTTTTTTTTTTAATTTTATCTTAGATTTTGAAAACATTTTTAAAAAGTAGATAGCTCCAATGGGCCAGGCAAGGGCTTGGGATCTCTTGGACTTTGAGGTCTCAAGTTTGAATCTTCGAGTGAGCTTAATACCAAAAGCCCTCGAGGTCTCCCAAGTTTAGGCCTTGGGGCAACTGTATGTGCCCTGGGTATAAAGGAGCAAAGCTACCACCCCCGATTAAAAAAAATAATAGATAAAAAATAGTAAAACAAAGGAGTACATAACTGAAAGTAATATTTATAAGCTTAGTAAAATAAAATGGTCAACAGAGGGGCCTAAATGATCCAAATCCTCACATGCTCCCAAGCAAAGACAACAACACCTCAACAGATTCAAAGTTAGCAACCAACTACCATCCATCTCCTTGACAATCTATTCTTCCTTCCCATCTCCTCTCAATTCATTATCTATAATTTCCATAGCATCTCTCAGAAAGCGACCAACTACCAACCAGTTAGTTAGTTATGTCTATTAACTAATATTATAATAGCTAGTACTAACTAGTTCTGTAACCAGACCCCTTTGTCCCTCTTGATGTATGTATCCCATAAAGATATCTAGAAGACGCATCAATTTTCAAATGGAAACAGAATGAAGACAAATGAAAAATAATGTGTTGAACTCCCCTGAGAAAAGCGAAAATAATATTCTTCATTCAAAGGGAGAAAAAGAGAAGGGAGGGAAAAAGGAAATACTATAACGCAGACAAACAACTCAATATAAGCTAAATTGAAATGAGTAAAAAAGGGAAAGGGGGGACACAAAAGTTAACCTAGAGAGAGGACGAGAGAAAATCTTACCAATATATCAGTCAAAATACGGTAATCTTTAATTGCACCAGTTGATGGATCAGTTTCACTAACAAGACCCACTGAAACACCAGCTACATGTTGATTTAATGGAATACCAGCATCCATCAATGCCATGCTACCTGTGAAAAAAATAAGATCCTATTGATCATATGAAATCCTAATACATCATCTCAAACTAATACAATTATTAAAGATTTACTATCACGGAATGAAGGTATATCTGGACACAGTAATCAAAATTTGCCAAACAGATTTGACCAAGAAAGCAGTTCATTAACTTGAGTAGCCTTTAAGTTAAAAGGTGTGATTATTGATTCAGAAATTGAGAATACCAATGTATACAGAGAATACAGATAACATTTTATTTCAACCAAAGAATGATCAAGCTTTATGCAACAATTTTAATGGCAAAACTTGGTTGATTCAAGAGAAAATAGTTGTACCTCCACAAACAGTTGCCATTGATGTTGAACCATCCGAGGCCATGACTTCTGAGGTTATGCGGACAGTATATGGAAATTCATTTTCAGGAGGTAACACGGCAAGCAAAGCTTTCTCAGCAAGAGTTCCTACGCAAGAATAAAAATTGAAAAAAAAAAAATCAATGAAGAATTTCATAGGGTAATTCTAGGGTACTAAATGCTTTAGATGATAGGCTGCATTCACAACTTCTAATATTTCCTCTCTGTCATCCCTCATATCTGCAATGAAAACCTCTCTACAGCTGACCATGTCCTAGATAGATTAGAATAGGGAAGCAAGAAGTATCTCAACCAAGGATCTGATAGAAACGGCTTTAAGGGTAATTAAGGATATTAGTAGGGTCTTGAGGGTACCTTAATAAATAGATATAGAAAGTTGTCAGGGAGAGTATTATAAATAGAGTGAGGGTGTAAGAATGAAGGTATCCAATTAGTGAGTATGGTTTTGGCTTGAGTGATATCTCAAGAGGGGAGGATCCAAGTACCTCTAATACTTGGTAGCTATTGTAGTTCGTTTATCTTTTATCCTTCAATATATTTGGAGGTTCTATCAGGATCCCCCAGAAACTTAACAGTTTTACCTTTACCAACATTAAAACAAAAGCAAGACTCAGTGAGGGGTGACTCCTCAAATTTTTTGCTCTTATCACTGGAAGGCCAATATATTGTACTTTGACGAAATGCTGCACTACCTTAGGTAGAAAATCAAGCCGTAAATTAAGTTTTTTCCCTATTAGAATTTTCATTATGTCTCTGTATATTCTGTAATTTTATTGTTTTCCTTGTAGGCTTAGATTAATTCCTTATTTGTTGAAAGGTTTTCTTGTATATTTACCCCTAAATGGGTTGTAATGATAATAAGAAAATATAACCTTTCTCACAAAGCTACATGGTATCAGAGCTCTAGGAATAAACCCTAGAATCTGAAAACCCCTAGCTGCCAGAATCTGGAAAAAAAACCCTAGCCACCGCCGTCTTCAATATCCACCTCCGGCAGTCATCTCCTTCCGCCGCCGTTGATCTCATTGATCTTCCACAGATTC